TAAGGCTGCATTGAGTAATCATAAGGCTGCATTGATCTAGTTATTCTAAGGCCGGTCAACATGTAAACATTGGTCAAAGTGATGGTCATTGGACCATGACCAAAAACAAAAGCGTTCAGGGTATTGGACCAGAAATAAGATGCAGAAATCATGAGTGAATCATTCCTCTCCATTCTAGACAACGAGAGTGTCAAACATTGATTCAAATCATAAACCTCCCAATCTTCAGCCTTTTTCTCGGATACCCTATGAAACAGTCTCTCTATCCCTTAGGCATTTTGGGCCAGTTTCTGAAGGGAGTTTTGATGTTCCAGGAGGACGAATCCACTACATATTGTTTAAAGGGGATTTGGTTGGTTTCTTGATGGATAAAATCAGATGGATCAGGGTCCCCATAGGCCCAAGAAAATAAACATTGGGAGCAACAGCTGATGGAATCAAGATTTTGTTCCTCATTTCCTAGAAATCGGTTGAAATAAATTTGAGAAGAAAGAAAATACAGGGTAGCGACCGGTACTTGGAACATGGAAGCTCGAAAGCATACCTTAGGGACATGGTCGCTGGTCGCCATTGCAGACGAAATGGATTTGAATCTGAAGAAGATCGCTCGAATGAAAGCTTGATGGGGCAGAAGATTTGCTAGGGTTGAGGCTTTGACGATGGTGGCATCGGCTGTTAGGATTTGCTCGAGAAAGAAGGGGAAAGCAAACGGGCTGAGTGAATTGGAAAAGATACTATTGGGATATTATATAAAACTCAGACCGGGAAGTCAGGAGTCACGCATATATCTCGGAACAAAACGGTTGCGGCATGGTAAACAGATAAATATGAATTTTGGAATAAAATTATTTTTATCCCAAAATTTGGGGGCATGTGTTTACACCAAAATTTGGGAAGAAGAACGCGAACTCGAAGCTTCTAAAATTGTGTCGATCAAGTAATCGATTGCATGAGAATCGATATTAACTGATTCAGATGCGACACTGAAATCGGCTCTCTTTGAATGACGTTAGCAGATAACGATAATGAGCTACAATTGGCGTCGGAAAATACATATCGGACTCTACAAAAAGGGAAAGATTAGGGTCCAAGTTATCTTAAGATAGGAATGTTTTCTTTTATACCAAAGATTGTAATGAGTCGTACTTGAGTAGGATTCATGTTTAGGCTTCGAGTTTAAATATTGGACCCCGGCTATTGTAAAGGACATCCAATCAATCAAATACAATTTACATTTTTGGCTCCGTGCCAACCCTTAGAAGTAGGAGTAGAGTAGATCCCGACGAGTTCTTCAGCAAGCAGGGCTGCATTGGTCCGGCCGACCTCCGGCTTGTCTATAAGTACCTTCATAGCTTATACTTCCATTTGTACGGCTGCATCGATCCGGTCGACCTCCACTGCGAACTCTACTATAAGCTAGTTATCGACTCTTGTCCAGTTCAAGTATTGTTGCATCGATCCGATCGACCTCCACTGCTCGAACTAGATTAAGGTCAAGTTATCGGCTCTACCTAAGGGTGGCGTCGTTCGGGTAGATTCATTAAGTTACCAATCTTGCTGATGTTCTTATTGATATTAGTTTGCAGCAACATCAATCTGTCCGGTCGAGATCAATCTAGATCGGCCTTATATCCTTTTAGTCCGGTGTTCGCTTTGTCACAATACGATGTTTCTTACTCTGAGCGGCGGGTTACATTTCATCAGTTGTTCTATTTCGATCTTGATCGTGCATAGTACGCGGTTAAGGCACGTATGATCTTGAAGAGATTTGCTGGCTAGTTGAATCTGGTCTATAGTTCGCTATTATGGCTGCAACGATCCGATCGATCTCCACTGATGGCACTGTAGATTGGAGGACGTTAGTTGGTAGGTTTGTTCCTGATCACGCGTGATCTTAACTGTTTGCTATGCCTGCATTGGCTAAATAGTTGATCGCCTATGCTTTAACGGCTACAGTGTGTGTCCATGATTCTATAAGCGAGAATAGATCTATGTACTTTAAGGGTTTGATTTGTTATCTTTATCACGACTACATCGATCTGGTCGAACCCCACTGTTAGAGACAGTAGGTTAAGTCTGATGAGTCCATAGGTTTGTCCATGTGAAATAGTCGATTGTTCACATGTTGTAGTCCATTTTCACCTGAATCGGCTATTTCAGCCAATTCGCCCGAGCCTTCACGTATAACATGTCTTTCGGAAAGCCTGTCGAAGTATAGATGGTTTTATGGATTCTTCGGTTTTAGTTTGTTATTATCATCATAGCTGCCATCGATCCGGTCGAATCTCACTGTTCATGGTAACATATTAGATTCAGAACGTTTGTAGGTCTATTTGTATTAGATAGTCGATTTATTTGCATGTTATACCGCTTCTTGATTAGATTCATTGGCTCAACGATTCACACCGGTAATATCCACCTAGCTGATGATCTCATTTACATCTGTGGGCATTATACTTATCAACATGAAATCAATCGCGATCCATAAGCTCTACTATTCGTAACAGCCGATTTCTGTGCGTATCGGCTATTTAGTCAATTTTCCCGTCTGGCTGCTCCTGAAGCGGCACACTTGGAACTGTCTGGGCAAAGACCGATATATTCCACCTTAAATTACTAATAAACTTTCTCTCCTTGTCAATTGCAGGTCAAATTGACTGGCACGCCTCGGGAGGAATTCGCAGGATCGGTTAACCCTGTGTTGAAGCCAAGCGGATCTCCGGGCTCATCCTAAGCAGATCCTTCCAGCTTGCCATGTGTCTACACATTTTCGTGCTGACACACACTCAGATCCTCGACGTGCTTTTTATTTTGGGACATATGAGTATTTATATTTACTTTTTTTATGAAGAGGAGTATTTTTCCTATAGAGTAAAGTTCATGGCCGGTCCTCGAACGTGTGGGGGTGCGTCATCCCGTTCCTCCAACTTAGAAAGTGTGTCATTTCGGTCTTTAAACTTTGTTTGGGTCTCATATACATGCAAACGGATATAGATCCATGCCCGCATACTAAAATATTACTTGTTTGCTTGAAATAAAAGATTAGCCGGGCCTATATATAAAATCGTTTAGACACAAAAACTACACAAATTTTTATAAACTTCGTAATGGGTTGTTTTGAAAAACAGTCGTCTTCCTCACATCCCGACGTAATCTCGCCGCCGCTCTCCCATGGTCGGCAGGCGGTGGCACGGCCAGCAGCCTGGCGTGGCAGCGCGACTAGCAGCACACGCTCGCCTGCCCCTGGCACGACGGCTTGGCCCACGGCCCGCTCACTCTCCACAAAGGAGCAGAGGCATTGGATTCTTGCGACCGGCGCACGCAATGTTCACCATGCAACTGGAATCCAGACTATGCGACGCAAAAGAGCGACACGGACGCTGGCCCGGACGCTGGCACGTCAGCTGCGGCTAGATGTAGGGGCACTCCCACTCCTAGTATCACGGGCGGGCCTCGTCGTCACGCACCCACTCGTCGTGGGCGACATCGCAGCCTGCTGGCGCCGCGCCCACCGCGATCGGCCACGGCCCGGCCCCCTCCTCGCCCTGCACGCATGCCCGACGCGGCAGCGGCGACAATGACGAGCGCCAGCACGGCGAGGACCTTCATGGCTGATGGCTGCACGGCGCACCTATACGTCCACGCGCGACCACGACAGGCCACCAGCTCCGGCGTGTCACTCAGCTAGCTTCCGCGGCCTAGAGCAACACAACGGGGCGCACTGGGATCTGGCGACGCGACACAGCTGTAGTAGGCGGTGGCGCGGTCCGCGACACGACCGGTAGCATGCTCTCGCCTGACCGGCGCGGCCAGTGGCCCGCGCGCTCGCCTGGCGAGCTTGCATGCCGGCAGCGTGGGGAGCAACACGGGGTGGACTTCATCGGTGCGGGCTCGCCGGTGCTGAGCTCGGTGTATCCGCTTCCTCGCCATGAGGAGCAGCTGTGCCGGTGCGGGGAGCAGCTCACCGCGACGGTCACACCGGTGCCAAGCTCGGTCAGCTGCGACTGCACCGGCATGGGGAGCAGCTCACGGCCTCGGAGCAGGCTCACCGGTGCTGAACTCGATGGGGCAGCTTCCAGGCACAAGCAGCAGCACAGCGTTGGCATGGTGGTGAGCGCCGCGCTGGTGAACGGCAATGCGCCGCAGCTGCACGGGGTGAGCAGTGGCGCGACTGCGAGCTGACCATCGTTGTGAGAGAGGTGAGAGATGAGAGACAGACAGCCTGTTCGGCTGGGGGCGGCTGGCTGGCTAGGCTGGCCAGCCCTCTCATATGAATACTGTTCACATGAACCAGCCAATAGTATTTCTCTCTTACATAAACGAACCAACAACGATACGAACCAGCCAACCGAACAAACTAAGAGCTGCCAGGTGAAGGGCCAGACCCGTTTAGACGAATACAGACCCAGATAGAGTGGAAGAACCCAATACACTTTCTGAGTCGAGAATCGACTGTCAAACTAAAAAATGACTAAAATGTACTCCCTCCATCCTAAATTGTAAGTCATTCCAAGAATTTTGGAGAGTCAAATTTTTTCAAGTTTGACTAAAATTATAGAGAGAAACATAAAGATTGATGATATCAGATAGTTATAATATGAAAATATAACTAATGAAGAATCTAATGATACTTACTTAGTATGATAAATATTATTATTTTGTTATATAAATTTGATCAAACTTGAAAAATTTTGACTCTCTAAGATTTTTGGAATGAATTATAATTTGGGATGGAGGGAGTACGAATTATTAGGCACCCTCGGTGAAGGATCTAGGTCCATCTTCCGTAAGCCACTTCCCAATCCCCCGAAGGCCCAAACTTCTCCTCATGACCCCGTCCGCCGTGCCTCGCCGGCGACGCGCCGCCAAGCTCCCGAGGCTTCCACCGCCGGCACCTCTCATCTACCACGAGCACGCAACATCCTCGATCCATGTCTTCTCTTCACACAAATCCACGAAGCACCAGCTCCTGGCCTCCACTGTACCTGTGGGGGCAACCCATGGTGACGGCAATTGCCGGCGGCGGCGTGCCAGCCGTCGTCACCAAACATCGTAGGCGCTTGTGCGTGTTGAGGTCCGCCAGCGACTGCTCTAGCACCACTGGGCGGCCTCTCAACGGAGGGCGAGACAAGCGGCGGAACCAGGACTCCCAAATCCCACGCGGCAATGTCGTCATGTGCCTGCATCTCCTCTGCCATCTTCACCACGCTGCTTGCTCCTCGCCGCCACCGCGCGCTCCCCACCTCGCCCTCGGCACCGCCACGGTGCTCGTGCGGAAAGGGACGTTCCGCAGTGAGGAGGCACACGACCTGTTCGACGAATTGCTGCGTCAAGCCACCCACGTGCCCGGGCGTGAGCTGAACGGGTTCCTCGCTGTGCTCGCGCGGGCACCGGCCTCCGCAGCCTACAGAGATGGCCCTGCCCTTGCCGTCGCACTCTTCAACCGCGCGTATCGAGCTCACGGCACACCTATGGCATCCTCATGGACTGCTGCACCCGCGCACACCGCCCAGAGCTAACGCTGGCCTTCTTCGGCCAGGTCCTCAAGACAGGCTTGGGCATCAATACCATCATCATCAGCAACCTTCTCAAGGGCCTTTGTGAAGCAAAGCGGACAGACGAGGCTTTGGACATCCTTCTCCACAGAATGCCTGAGTTGGGTTGTGTGCCTGATGTTTTCTCGTACTGGGCTAACAGATATGGGCTTCGGACATGGGCCTGCGTGCCTCTACTGGTTGGTTGGGCTTAGCCCGTGTATGGAGTGGTATTTATTTACCTTTGGCTGTGGAGAGAGAGGTACGAAGAATATTGTAATCAATAGTCAGATATATCTTAATCTATTCTAGCTACTCCTCTCGTGTTCATCTTCTTCCTCCCAATTCCCCTGCTCTGCTGCTAGTTCCTCTCCAATCTCTTATCTCTGATGCATCCTTACCTATCCCTGCTACCCTGCTGCTAACATCTGGTATTTAGAGCCAATCCTGGAATTCCACCGAAATCCCTCACTAACTGATTCCGATTGCAATTGAGCGCTATGGGTCTCGATTTCCAGTTGATCCTGGCCGAGCTTTGTGAGTTTTGCAAGGAGTTGGCATCCACGAAGGAAGCTATCTCCTCGACCGCGCGGCTCCTCCACGCCGACCAGGGCCGCGCCATGGGCCCCACCATCAACGACCGCCCCACCATCGTCGATGTCATCACCGACGTCAGCCTCAGCGCGGACGACAACACCAAAGGCAGTGGCTTCTCTGTCCCCAAGCTCGACTCCAAGGCCGATCCGCCTGTGCAGAGCCGCGTTCCCGTCGACACCACCCTCTTCTCGGCCAACCAGGATGAGATCCCCAACAACCTCGCCGTGCACCCGGGCTCGTTCCGCTGCGTCCGCTCCAACTCCGACAACGTGGAATTCTCACCTCGCACCTGTGCTGTTCTGGTGCCTTCCTCCGTGCTCTGCTCTGCCCTGCTCCCCACGCAAGGACCACCGTGCACCAGAGCCCTTACCAAGGCGGCGCCACAGCGTCCCTGGCCACGCCAGCAGCCACAGCTCACGCGCATCAACGCGATGAAGCACTCCTCGTATCCCGCCGAGGACGACGGCGCCGACGACCTCGCCCCGGTCGACCCCGGTCCTGAATTTGGGTCGTAGACCAACTTCAGCACCCACGGGGGCGCGGAGGACATCGCCATCTACCAAGGCTTCCAGACCCCATACAGCGGCGTCATGCTCACATGCTTCCTCCGTGGTGATGCACTCCACCACTTCGAGTACGCGCGTCCCCACCGCGGCGTTCCTCACTAAGCTCCGCGGTGGCACTTGTACCACGAGCCGCCCGGACCCTCTGGACGCCACCATGCACCGCGCCAAGTACCTCCTCCACGACAACGACTTCGCCGACGAGCTTGGTCGTGAGGAGGCAGACCTGGATGTGAAGCTGCTGGGCCCCGCGACGTACTGCGCCACCGGCGACCAGTTGGTGATCGAGTGCAAGGCCCTTCTGGACGCTCGACTGGTGTTTGAAGAAATGCCAAGCAAGTACACCACCGTGCACTCTGTTCATTCTCTCCAGCATTCCATTCTTATTTTCCTTGCTATGCCTGGTATGCCACCCTTGCCCATGAGCGTGCTGGGATCTGAGTCCATTGCCTAAGCCAAGCTGTGCATCCAACAATTCAAGGACCTTATGGTGACGAAGCGGTGGCTTGTACTGGATGGGTATGAGTTGGCCAGAAACAACTGCCCAGTCAATTATTGTGGGCTGGCCGAGGAAAATGTTTTGCACCTTGTTATTCGGCTGTCTAATCTCTGTGTGATCAACAGTGAGACTGCCACTGGAGAGAAGTTCAGGAGGAGGAGGCTCCCAGCACCTTGCCCAACAGTTGTCTGATGAATTGCCTCATCCTGATGCAGAGCTGTTTCTCGCTTCCATTCAGATGCAGCTCGGATGCAGTGCTATACAGGCAGCACAGGCCATTGCCTCCACTTCAGAACTCCATTTGGTGAGCTGTGAGGCTAGGCTGCGTCCTCTACCTTGGTCGTCGTTCAACATGGTTGAGAGGTATTCTGTCTTGTGTCACTTGGGTCGACTCTGGAAACCCCCATGGTTTCCATCACTTCGACAACTGATCAGGTGTGTACCAACTACTGCTCATTAGAAGCTTTTGACATGTATGATGGTGCTATCAGTGAATACGACTGGTTGTGTACTGATTCCAGAGCAAGTACAGCGGAAATGTGGTGGCAATTGTTAGTGTTTCTTGCTTGAAGTGACAGGACAGAAATCTCGAGTTGCAGGAGGAAAAGCCAAGGATCGTTGGCCGACTAAGCAAGATTTGTTACAGCAAATTTTGTCTTCTGGTCCTAGCTCGAGATCTTGGAGGGCTTGGCATCAATCAAGATCTCTCGTGTTCTTGCAACTCTCATGGATGTCATCTATTTGGACATGCAGTTCGATGGTTTGGTGCTATCACCGCATTTGCCGATCTCATTGGTGGTACTAATGGTTCTGATGGTGTCCATCTAATCGCCTGATGTTTCGATGGTGCCCGGTCTCTCCTATGACATATCATGTGGAGTTCAGCATACTAATTCTCTACAGCTAGACTACAATCGACCTCGGTACATGTGTTGGACACATTTGGCGACTCCTTGTTTACTCGAGCTAGACTAAATTGGCCTACAGTCTGCTGCATTGTGTTCCAACCTTGCTTCGTTGCCAGCAAACTGACTGTTCTTGATTGGATGCTGATGGCCACAATTCAATTGGAGATCGTGTGTGATGGAGCTCAGTTGCGACCAACACCATGGCCCTCTTTTAGTATAGTCCATGAAGCTACTGCATGGTGGTGTTTCAATTTGCTCGTGCTGCCAATATGGCTACCTTCATCTTGGTGGAATTCTGGGTGCCATGGCATAGTTTCCTCTCATCCCATTCGGACCCCTCGGCCACCACCATCTCCAGTTCTGTTGGTGTGCTTCATTTATATCCTCAAGCAGCAAGTTCATGCAAGCACTCTACTGTCCTTCGTGGATTGGTGATCAAGTGGCCTCAAGTGTTGGTGCTCATGGTAATTGCAAATGACCTACTGACACAATGGGATCCAGGAGCCAAACATGTGTTGTTTTTCTGCAGTAAGCCATTTCGAGTTCTAGAGCTGCAGCATGAGTCGTATCGTCTTGTGTTGATTCCTAGGAATGTTTCTTGCTTGGAGACCACACTTGTGTCCGTGCAAAGGTCTATGGTGAGGACCTTACACTTTGGGATTCTCGGTGGTGACATGGTCATTACGCTCAAATCAAAGATACCAAATACCAAGTTGCTAACATTGATAATGCCAAAACATAAGATAATACTCATCGGACAGAGTTTATGGCTGACGGAGCTTCCTTTCTATCACCTGCTCGTTGAGGACCCTTGATAGCTTTGGTCGCTCAAGGAGACTAATTGCTCATTCCTCTACCAGGAACACTCGGTGCTTATCCATGGTCAACTGAAGATGGGAGTTTTTAACAGCTTGGGGGCAAGCTATTGCTTAAGCGGGGGATAATGATAGGGATATGGGCTAGTATTAGTAATAGATATGGGCTTCGGACATGGGCCTGCGTGCCTCTACTGGTTGGTTGGACTTGGCCCGTGTATGGAGTGGTATATATTTACCTTTGGCTATGGAGAGAGAGGTATGAAGAATATTGTAATCAACAATCAGATATATCCTAATTTGTTCTAGCTACTCCTCTCGTGTTCATCTTCTTCCTCCCAATTCCCCTGCTCTGTTGCTAGTTCCTCTCCAATCTCTGATCTCTGATGCTTCCCTACCTATCCCCGCTACCCTGCTGCTAACACATACTTCTATAGAGCTTCTGCAACGAAGGAAAGAGTGGCTAGGCAGATGAAATGCTACTGATGATGGCTGGAAGGGGAGCTGTCTGCTCGCCCACCGTGGTCGCGTATAATACAATCATCAATGGCTTCTTTAAGGAGGGCGATGTTGCTAAAGCATGTGATCTATTCAATGAAATGATGCAAATGAGCATTTCACCTAATCTAGTGACTTATAACTCCGCTGCTCATGCACCGTAAGGGCAAGAGCAATGGACAAGACAGAGGTCATTCCTTCAACAAATGGTTGATAAAGGTGTTCGCGGATAACGGTACATATAATAACTTGATCTATGGATATTCCTCTATGGGCCAAAGGAAGGAGGCGCTTAAGGTATTTAAAGACATGACAAGTCGTGGGCATCTTACCGATGTAGTTACTTTAAACATGTTAATGGCTTCCCTTTGCAAATATGAAAAAATCAAGGATGCTAGAGATGTTTTTGACTCAATGGCAATGAAGGGCCAAAAACCCGATATTTTCTCCTACCAAATTATGCTCAACGGCACGCTACTAAAGGATGCCTAGTTGATATGACAAATCTATTCAATTCGATGCTAGGAGACAAGATTGCACCCGACATCCATATTTTCAATGTGCTGATCAAGGCATATGCTAATAGTGGAATGCTAGATAGGGATATGATTATCTTCAATGAAATGAGGGAGCAAGGAGTGAAACCTAATGTAGTAACCTATTCGACAAAGATAGCTGCGCTTTTGCGATGTAATTGGTAAGTCGGATGATGTTTGTGGAAAAATTTAATCGATGATTGATCAAGGAGTAGCACCCAATATATCTACTTACTATTGCCTGATTCAAGGTTTTTGTACTCATGGTGGTTTGCTAAAAGCCAAGGAATTGGTTTTGGAAATGATGAATAAAGGTATGCGTCCTGACATTGTTTTCTTCAGTTCTATAATAAACAACCTTTGCAAACTGGGAAGGGTAATGGACGCACAAAATATATTTGACTTAATCAATCAATATTGGTCTCGCATCCTATTGTTATGGTGTATAGTATGCTGATGGATGGGTACTGTCTAGTTGGCAAGATGGAGAAAGCATTAAGTGTATTTGATGCTATGGTGTCATCTAGCATTGAACCAAATGTTGTAGTGTACGGTACACTTGTTAATGG